CTGATCTGTGATGATTTCATGTTTCTGCACTATATACTTCAGTACTAGCAATAAGCTATTCTGAATAAGCTGACCCAAACAGTTTTATCACACAGGGACATGACTGTCATTAACCCACTAATAAGCTATCTTGAATAAACTGCTCCAAACAGCAAGACAGATTATTCTGATAATCTGCATGAATGTCATTTAACCACCATAAGCTATCTTGAATAAGCTGCCCGAAACAGCAAAACAATAATCTGCTTATCAGTAGATTATAAATAATCAACAGCTGCGAAAACATACCCTAAGTCATAATCATACTCCTCTCCCTCATCCATAGAATTCATAGGTCGCTTGACCTGACGATTTGCAATACTCTGCGTCATAATCATACTCCTATCCCTCATCCATAGAATTCTTTGGTCGCTTGACCTGACGATTTGCAATACTCTGCGTCATACGTCTAAAGCTCTTACAATCTTTGCTGACCTTCACACATCTGATCAGCTTCTGACTAATCTCCATTCATTGCAGTGACCCGCCTGACAAGCTCCTCATGCTCCGATATTAATAAACTCAAGCCACCCATAAGAGCATTTGAGTGCTCGGCCTCAAATGTCATGCCCTTCATGCCCAGGCCATAGACTCGCCCATTCTTCTTTCCGGTCGTTTGTCTCTATAGCTCAAAATCAGACTGCAAAATGGTAGTCTGACTACAGTGCTGCTAGCAATTGTCAGGGTTTGACTCTCCAACTCCCTCTGCTTCTTCTAGAGATGTTCGTACTCTTATGTAATTAAAACTAAGGATTAATTTTCATTTTCAACATTAATAATAAAAAATAATAGAAAATCAATTTTTTAATTATATTGACTCGTCAAGGCAAGTCGGGGACCCACTGCTGTGTATCTTGGCGTTGATGCATCTGGACATGCAACTCTGCAGTGATGGGTGACCAACCAAGCTCCTAAACTTGTGTACATGAGAAAATGATAAGTACCACATAATTACATCAACCATTGAATTTTTGAATATTTAGAAAATGTTACTATTCTTCGATAGTGCTCCGTGTGGAGGACCAAACCTCCAATGTGGAGTGCGACACTCCTGGCCCCCACGCTCCTCTTGTTCTTTTGGTTCGTTTGTCTCTTTCTCTGATAATTCAGAGAGACAAAGGCTCTGGTCAAGTGAGTAAAAACCTCCTCTCCAACCCAGATTGATTGCTATCCCTTTCTGCGAGCTATGGTTAACATGTCACTCAGTCGATGCCTACCATAAATCTAAAAAATGTGGTTGGTCTACTGGTGATGCTCTGACCGCCAATAAAAGAGCCTTTGCAAATTAAAAATTATGCAATGTTGATTCAAATAACAAAATAACTTAAAATTAGTATTTTATTTCAAATGAAATGATCCTGTCTCGAAATCATAGAACCACATGTTCCGTGTCACAATTGGGATCTGATTCTAGGAGAGATATGTATTATCATATACATTCCAGATAATCTTCGTGATGTGTATCACAAGCGGCCCGGGGAGAATGAACCTGAAATAGAAATATTAGTTTAAAAAAATATCTAGATGAACAGTGAACTTAGTCTAATTTTAAAGTTAACTTACAAGTCTCCCTTCGACATAATATATACCCGACCGTAGGGAGGGGTGGGAGTTGAGGGGCACTACTCATTCGAGGAGGGAGCTGGTAGCTAAGTGGGAGTTGGTGCCTAAGTCGGAGCTGGTGTGGGAGGGGTTGTAGTGTGAAAATCTGGTGGTTAGAACGGAGTAGCAAGACTGATTGGAGTCGCAGTAGAACGTACGAGAGGGGTTGTAGTGGCGGTGGTGGTGCTAACTAATACTGAACTAGTGCTGTGTCTATTAGAGCGAGACTCGACCTTCTTTATTCTGCTGTATGTACTCTCTAAAGTTCCCTTAGGAGGTCGCTCAGGTAACTGACCATCAATACTACCTGTTGCCATTTGTAACAGAAAAAAATATATTAATACAATCTGTACTAACAACAAAAGTAAGCAGGAGCATTATAATATAAACAAACAAGCAAAAACAGGAAGGTGCAGAATCAAAACAGGAATCATGTTGTAACTACATTGTAAAAATAATAAGAGAATGCAGGAGAAGTATAATATAAGTAGCAAAAGTAAAAGCGGAAAGATACAAAATCAAAACAAGAACTATAGAATCTTATGATAATCGGGTAGATTTCCATTTTGATCGGGCATAAGCCTCCAAATTGTCTTCTATGAGGGGCTCCACCTTCAAAACATTATTTGGATAAATTTTTTTGCTAATGATCTACATAATTAAGTGTTTTCAACTAATGCTGAAGCAAAAACTATTGTTTGGTGCGGCTGGTATAATTGGTCCTTTTGTACTGGATTGATATGTTTATAGGACTTTTTTTTTCCCCACTGTGACTGCATATCTTGGAAATGCATTAAATATTAAAAAAACATTGTAATGCAACACCAACTTTTTGTGCACCTGCCTAATTAATCTATTTTTAGGCCTCTTTTTTGACAAGTTTTAAATGTATCTGTTGAGGAAGCTCAAAGCTTTCACATTTATTATTTTCATCAGAGAATCATATGCTTAACAAATATTTTATGTTATTTTGTAAGGTTCAAAGTTCACCCAGAGCTAGAAACTGGAAACGCTGTAAGACTTCCAACGGCTTGTCCATCAAGGGTATTGTTTTGTTTTTTAAATTTATCTTTTTTAGTTTTCTTTTTTTAAACTATTAAATTTTCATTCATAAAATTCTAACTCCCAAATTTCACAATTCTCCTAAAAAGTCGAATTACATGACTCGCCAGTAGAATTAGTATAACATCAAGCAATTACACGGAACTATTATTTGAAAAAGAAGCCAAAAAAACACAATCAATGATAACCCAAAAACAACAAAGGAAAAATCTTGCTTAAAGGCTAGAACCTCCCAATTTCTTATTTCTTTAAGCCTGGTAAACCTTCGAGAGTAGCAGTGTCTATTCTTTTTATTGCTATTCTTTCTTATTAATTGAGCTTCATTTCTCTCAAATTGTACCTAAAGGCTAGTTCAAAATCAGCCAACCATCGTTATGAAGCACTCGTCTCTTTAACTTGTAATCTGATATCCTTAGTTGTCTTTCTCTTGGTCAGCTATCATCACCCAACATAAACATGAACATGTGACCATCTTACAGAATGGGCGTTTTCAAGATTTTAAGTGTAATCTGAAAAATTTTGAGATCTTATAAGATTTACAATTATTCTTTTCAAAATTTAAAAAAAGATTAGGTCATGTGAAACGCTAATCTGGTTGATAGTGCTAGAATTACGTTAAATTTTGGGAAGGTGTTTAGTCTTAGGGAAGGAAAGAGGCTTATTGTCTACAATATTTCTGGAGAATTTAATAATTTTCCAAGGTTTTTAGATTTTCCTAATGGTCAATGGAACAAGACTCGGTCAAATTGAAGGACGCTCTTGGGCAACAACTTATATTAGGTTTTGTGGAGCATTTTATAGGGAAATAATTTTATTTGATGGATGAGGTCTTTGAGAAGAGATATGAAGTAAGAAACAAAAAAGACTTTAACGCAATTTATTACTAATCACTCTTGAAAGTGATTAAGTTTGAAGATTTTCTTTTTCGGAGAATAAGATTACTCAACTTTTTGCCTTGTAGAGGTCGATCGTGAAGCCCTTCTTGCTTGGGTTTGAGTTAAATTCAATTATTGCACTGAAAACGACATTTTCATTTTTGTCCCAACCATTTTTATAGTTTTTTTTGTAACATTTAATTCAAATGGCAGAGTGAGGGAAAGAGGTGGGCTAATTTTATTTTAATTGTAAGTAGATAATATAATCTTCCTCTCCAAATTGCCCAAAATGATTAGAAAACATTTTATTTACCTTATTTTGTGCAAAGAGTCATTTTTCTCTTAACTTTACATGACACTCCTTCATATTCGAAAATTCGAGCTTTAAATTTTGAAGTCTTAGAACTTTGAAATTTAAGTTTTCAATTTTTTTTTAAATGAGCACAATTTTAAATTATAACCTATATTCTTTCATTAAATTATGAAAATAAATCCTAATTAGATATCTTTATTTTGCTCTTGGTTTTTGGTCCCTTGACTAACTGTAGCATTCTTCTTAATTTGAGCTCATGGTCCCTTTCTTTCTCAATTGATTCCATGTGCTACATTACTCTTTCTTGACTTCTTTTTCAGCGAGAATAAATTTGTGCTCAATTTATTTAAAGTTACTGATTTTTCTTTGTACTTTATAACTCTTTTTTATAATTTTTCCGAACACATTTTTTGCAGAGTTCTAGAATTTGTGAGGGAACAAGTTTCCAATTTATACCAGATAGTATAGTATGCCATGATTACCAAGAGATCAAGATTCAGGAGAGCACACAAGTTTTGGGAGTTGGTTCTTTACCTCGATCAATACCCATTATCTTGATGGATGATCTTGTTGATGTTGTGAAAGCTGGAGGTATGGTATTTTACATATACATCACACAATTTTTATGTATTTATTTTTCTAAGATCTAAACTTTAATATTTACTTATATAGCATTTAAATCTTTAAATCATATAAAACTATCATTAATGTTAACTTTTCTAAAGTAAAATGCACCATTTCATGTATATATTTTGGTGTGATTGAGATGTTAAAGTGTCATTTAAGTAACTATCTTAGGTTATGTGTAAGTTATATAATTAGATAAGAATTGTGTGATACATATGTATATCCCTCTTCTTTTAAATGTGGTCATTATTATTTTTCATTGACAATCCGGATTACTTAGGATAAATGAAAATTCAATGGTCATTTTATATTGATTACGAGTAAAATTATGGATTAAGGTCGTGGAGTTGCACATGTAACCTGCAAAAAGTCCGAAAAGCGATAGGTTTTTTTCTTTCGTGGAGTAATGTAAGAATCCCTATTATGATAACTTTTTTCCTCGTGATTCTAGGAAATCCTACCTTGTCCCTCACAAAATCCACTGTTGAACCCAGATTTGTCTTTGAATCATACTCAATGAATAGAGCATAAACTGAGGGGAGAGAGAGAGAAAAAAAAAGGAAACACTTGTATTGGAAATCTTATATATAGAGCCCATTTTTTCCATAAATCTATTGCATTTAATTTGAAAAAAAAAAAAGGAAACACTTGTATTGGAAATCTTATTTATAAAGCCCATTTTTTCCATAAATCTATTGCATTTAATTTTTTCTATTTTTAATGGCAAGGATTCTGATAAAATGACACTTTTGGACATATCTTGCCCTTGATCCCTTAACGTTGATATTTCATCTTCTGAAATTCAACCTTCGATTGCATCATTGGGATGCAGAGGATGAAACATTCGGCTTTAATTGACAACCTTCAAGCCATTTGGTTCTAGTGCTGGACTTTAGTTACCCATCATTAAATGCTCACTTTACACGAATCTAGTTCCAAACGCTTTACTTCGATCACTCGATTTCGGGCACTCGTCCTTGGTCACTCAACCTCAGATGCTTGACTTTGGTCACTCACCCTCAGGCACTAGACCTTGGTCACTCAGCCTCAGGCACTTGACATTGGCTCACTTTCTTATCCAGGGCAGTTTTCGATGAGTGGCGACTTCTGAGCCGTTGGATTTTGTTACGTCGGTGTCTAGCTTAAGAGCAAATTTTCTTTTAATTATTTTTGTTGGGTTAAAGTAGGCTTATATGTTTAGGGTTAGATTATGCATGAGATTTAGTCTTTTTTCTTAGGTTTGAGATTTGGGAGAGATTTCCTACATCTCGAATTGTAGTAATTGGGATCGCCTACCTCTCAAATTGTAGATTCTTACCTTTTGTATTCGTATGAGTTATTAGTATTGTATTGCTTTGATGGGAAATAAAAATGTGTTTGGCTTAATTTATGTAGAAATGCGTGCTGATTTTGACCTTGAATCATATCAAATTGGTATCAAAGCATTGACTATGGGTTGCAAAGATTCTTAGAAGTGAATTTGGTCGATCCTGAGCCTTCATTGTCACGTTAATGAAGGTTTCGCTGCTTACAGGGTTAGCAATCACAATTGCACCTAGCTGGGAAGTAGACGACGGGTTCGTGGCGTCCATAGCACTCGATCCAACCTTTAGATCTAGTGGAGAAGCTGACGACAATTTTGTGAATGTATCACATCGTACAGAGCGCTTAATCCAAGCGTATAAATCGCTGCTTAGAGGGTAAGCAATCACAATTGCACCTAACTGGGAAGTAGACGATGGGTTCGTGGCGTCCATAGCACTCGATCCAACCTATTGTCGGGATTTAGATCTAGTGGAGAAGCTGACGACAATTTTGTGAATGTATCACATCGTACAGAGCGCTTAATCCAAGCGTATAAGAAAGCCAATGCGAAATCGCGACATATGCAAACCCGAAAATCGAACTTTAGATAATAGCCTTCAAGCCATTTGGTTTGCAGTGTCAACTTCGGTTACCTATCATTGAATACTCGCTCTCCGCTAATCTAGTTCCAAACAGTTTTCTTTGATCACTCGTTTTCGGGCACTCGTCCTCGGTCACTCGGCTTCAGGCGCTCTACCTTCTTCACTAGGCTCTCAAGTGCTCAACCTTGGTTACTCGGCCTCGGACACTCAACAACATTACAAATATATATCCTTCAAGCCTTAACATTGCATCTGTTTGTATTTTGATTAAAAGTGACACAAAATCTGTTTATCAGTTAGAAATTTCTCTATTTTTTATTTTTATTTTACTTTTTTCAGTTATTACAATTATCCCCATGAGCTTGTGACTCATATAGTTCATTAGTGATTGGATGATAAATCTTGTGATTGTTTAAGTACTGGAAACAACCAGAGATTATACCAAAGTATCTTGATTAGAATTGATGCATGATACATTTTCCTTTTAATTGACAATCGTTGATTTTTGCTTTCACTTTCTAAATGCTATATTACAGAGTAAAGTGCCAAAATAGTGCTTGGCTATTTACATGGGCCGTTTTTGTCCCAGTTCATAGAAGTGTCAAAAAAGTCTCAAACTCTTTAATTAGAACTGAAATAACCCCCATGAAGGACTATTAAAGCTCAATTTTAAAATAGTTGGTAACTATTTTAGCATTTCTATAAATTCTGAGAGTAAAATGACTCTATATAAATAGTCGGGTACTATTTTAACACTTTTCTCCTATATTAAAGCTCCTGATGTTATTGAATATTTTTTGGGAATGGTTTTAATGCTTTGCTGAATTGTTTTAATTCTTATTCTTGGTCATCATAAACTTTGTTCCCCTTGGTTCAGATAATGTTATGGTTACTGGGGTTCTATCTGCAAAATGGTCCTCAGATCTCAAGGATGTGCGGTGTGATCTTGATCCCATTGTGATTGCAAATCACGTAAGGTAATGATACTGTCAGTGTCTTGACATTTTTAGTACATTCTATTAAATTTCCAGATCACAAAGTTTTTTTTCCTTAATTTTTTTTTTGCATTAAATGTTTATATTACCATTCAACTGTAAGGAAAGAGCTGGGTTCTTGATTACTTAGTCAATTAATTATTGAGCCAAACACAATCAATTTTAAGTTTGTTAAAGAGCTGCAAAATCATTGTTGCGTTCAAGTTTTTTATCAGAGTTAAAAATGAGCTAAACATGTATAATAAATATTGAAAGTAATCATCAAATGCTTTGATAGTTGTTCAATTCATAGTTCCAATTGCCTTAAAAAAGTTTTTTAGTTTTTATTAAATTTATTTGATTTATTGGCTTTCCATAGGCGTTATTATTTATTAATTACCTTTATTATGCATTATGTAGTTTTCTTTTTATTGTTATTCTGATTTTATTTATTTGATTCTGTTTTATTTCTTTTCTTATTTGAGTCCATTATAAGAGTTTAAATACCCCTCTTTATATCAATGAGAACTATGTTTATCTACTCCAAATCTCAATATGGTATCAGAGCCTAACCTTAGATCTAGCAGCCGCCGACTTCCTCTCCCTATTCCAGCAGTCATTGGTTCCTCTTCTGATTTTTCTACTACAGTTTTTTTCTTGACCTGCTGTCATTTTCCTGGTAACGTTTTTCTTGGTTCTACAAGTCACAGGTTTCCTTCTGTTTCCAAGTAGCAGCATACGGGAACCAAAAGCAACCAGCCGTTTTCTTGATTCTAGCAGCAGATTTCCTTCTGTGTCCAGCATCAGCATCTGCCGGTAGCAGTTTTCCAGTTCGGCTGGGTTTTTTCCGCCTTGCTTTGCCGCTGTTCGGTTGCTAGAATCCGTATGGTTTCAATCGTCTCCTTCAGCCACTGTTTGGCTATTTTGTCCGCTACCTCTCCAATGTTGTTGCTTTGCCGCTCTGTTGGCAACCTGCTCTGTAGCTTTTGCCATTCATTGATTCTCGCCCCTGATTCCAGCCGACACATTTCTTCCTGGAACCGCTAATCCTCCTTGCAGGTTCCAGCAACTGCAATCTTTTCCTGTTTGCAGTATCCTCAATACAGCCGCAGGTCCTTTAGTGCCTCTGTCTCTGCTGTCGTCGGTTATGCAGGAAGGAGTCCGGCAGTTGTCTAGCATCGGTCTTCCCTGTAGAGGTTTTATTTTCTGCAGTTGTATTTGTTTGTCGTGATCTTACTAGAATTCATCGATGGTTCAGAACCACAATCCTAACCACACTCGTGATGAGTGTTGGAAGCTTCACGGTAAGCCGACATACAAACCTTTAGCCAAATCCTCAGCTACTAAGGGTCTCAAGGCGACGATCGAGCCTACCACGGCTCAACTAACTCTTCCCTGGAACATCCTTAAATCCTCTGAATTTTGGAAAACCAGATGGAGCAATTGATCAAGCTTCTTGTAGCCATCAAGTCTTTACGGGTCCGTCAACCTCCCACGACAATGTACTCTTCCTATGACTTTCACGGTTTATTCCGCCCTAGTCTATGGATTATTGATTCATGTTCCACGGATCACATGACTAAATGCTCATAAGTTTTCTCGACTGACTATCCTTGCTCTGAAAAGAATACCGTCAGAATGCCAATGGCTCATGTAGTTTCATTGTTGGCAAAAGGTGGGTTGTACTAACAACAGATCCAACTCTGGAATCTGTTTTGCTAACTTGTTATCTGTCAGTAAGTTGATGAATGATATTGATTGCATTGCTAATTTCTCTTATGATGGTTGTGTTTTTTAGGATTGTGATTTGGGGAGGTTGATTGGAACTGCTGAGAGAGTAAGAAGACTACTACTTCCAAGAGAATAGCATGGAGAGTAAGGAGACACCTATTAGGAGTTGTAGCTTATCTCGAGTCTTTAAATGTCTCATTATATTGTTGTATTGTCGTTTAAGTCTTTCTAGTTTCTAATATTTAAAAAAAGTGTATTCTTGGAAGTTTTCTAATAAATTTTTTTCTAATTTTAATTGTGAGACATGTTAATAAGCCAAACATTATCGGGTCAATGACCCACCCCACACTTACACATCATCTGTTTTTTCTCTCATTTACAATGACTTATGGGGACTCTCTCGTACTCACAATTACACTACTAACCAATGGTTCCTGACTTGGTTGACGACCACACTCGAATGCCGTTAGTCTACATTTTAAAAGACAAATCAAAGGTTGTTGTCACCTTCCAAAACTTTTACACATTCATTTTAATTCAATTCAAAACTTCTATTCAGGTCCTTCAGATTGACAGTAGTCGTGAGTTTTTCAGCTTTATTTTGGGTTAAATATTTGTAAGAATATTCTCCATTATAGCTCATGTACGGACAATCCTCAACAAAATGGGTTAGCCGAAAGGAAAAATCATCGTCTCCTTGACGTTGCTCGCTCCATTATATTTCAATTCAATGTCATGAAATGGTTTTGCAACAATGTCATTCTTATTATCACATATCTGATAATTAGTGTCTTCTTTAAAATTCACAAGTTCTGAACGGGAGCACAGGATCATCATAACCGGAGGTCACGCACGGGCACCTCACGATCAGAGAACCAAAGACTACCGAGCTTGGCAAGCGCAAGCTCCTCGGGCGGGTACAGTGTCAAAAGCGCACTGGCTTCCACCGGTAAGGTGTGCCACACGCTCAGACGCTTACTCACTTCCGAGACGTCTACATCCTTCGCCTCATGAATAGGGTTAATGTAGGTCTTAGGAGTCTACGACCAATTGAATAGGAATTTGGGAATAAGAGGGGACATATGCGGAAAGCATTGAGGCAGACCTGGTCAATAACTCGACACAGATCTACTTACAACGCTCCCCAGGGGTGTAATCCGGTATATGTATGGTATGGTTTTCGGAGAGACTTTTGGTCCCTTCGGCCATACTCGTATTCTATTTTAGAAAGAGCAAAGACTCTATACCAACTTAGCAATCCTAGGATGTCCCTTATTCTACGCCTATGTATCCTTCCCCAAGTTATCTTGCAATTGAGGAGTCCTCTGTTCCGATGAGTGCATCATCCGGTGAGCCCTCTAATTTGGTAAGTGCACTATGTATTCCTCCCACTATCCGTGTCTACACTCGACACTTCCTTTCCACATACTTTTACTTTGGAACCCGCTAATTCCTTACAGGACCTTGATTCCTCTTCGGGTGGACATCCTTAGCATGACCCCTTCTATGAATGACAGAGTGAGTTCTCCGAGTAAGGTATGCAATTAAACATGTTCACTCTATTCTATGACAATATGTCTCTTTTCACAGTTTATAACCGACCTACAAAGCATTTGCTACTACCCAGACGGACCATCAGATCTTCGCTATTATTGAGGTTACTCTTACGATCTAGTCTGGAAAATAACAATAATAGATGATATGAATGCCCTTTATCGAAACTATACGTGAGACGTCGTTGATCTTTCTCAGAGTAAGCGCTTTGTAGGGCATCTACCCCGCCCATACTCGGGCCGACATATACCACGTAGTTGGTATAGTGAGTTAATTTATGCATGACCCATATGAGTATAATTTCCAAGCTGTCTACCAGATTCTCCACCATTTAAAAGGTATATCAAGCTCTGGTTTGCTTTTCTCTCATCATAATTTCAGTTTATTGTTGTTTGTACAGATGCTGATTGGGTTGGGTCAGTTCATGATCGACCATCCATCTTGTGGTATTGCTCATTTGTTTGGGAAAATTTAGTAATGTGGAAAAACAAAAAACAATCTGTAGTTGCTCGGTTCATGTTCTTTGGATTTGTGAAACCCTTTGGTTACGCATCATGGTCCGTGAACTTTATATGCCAACCTCTGTCCCGCTGCAGCTGTTTTGTAATAATAAGCATTGCTCACAATACAATCCAAAATGATTTCTCCAAACATGTGAAGATTTACAAACACTTTATTAAGGAAAAAATTGAGTCCGGGGAAATTTATGTTTCTTTTGTGTTCTCAGTTGTCAATTAGTAGATATCCTCCCCAAGAATCTTACTCGTCCTTTGTACGATGATGATGACTTTAACTCTTAATTGAAGAAGATTGACTTCTATGTTTCAACTTGAGGGAGGGTATTAGATTTATTAGATTTATTGACTTTCCATAGTCGTTATTATGTATTTATTACCCTTATCCATAACCCTTATTATTTATTGACTTTTCGAAGCAAACGACAGGTTTAAAGGAGTTTTGAAAGAATATTGAGAGTAATAAGAAATAGATGAATTGGAAAAAAATAGAGAAAACAGTTGAGACAAATCAGATCTGGAATGGAGGAGCTTTTCTCGACCATGGAGGGACAATTCTCATCCATCTAAGGGAGATTCATGATCTTGGAAGAAATGTGAATAAGATCATTGAATGTCATGCTGACTACTGTGGAATCAAGCGACCACGTTAGCAGGGGATGACAGTGACAACAATCTGTAGGAATTTTGCAGCATCAAGACATTGCTACTACTTTAGGCAGACTTGGAGTCATAGGTTCGAGCGAAGGAATCGGGAGTAGACTCTAGCGGAAGCGCTTGGAAGGAATAACATGACATCCAGATGTCTGGAATGAATGAAAGCAGGTGGGATTCAACAAAGGAGTCAAGAGTGGATTTGACCTATGTATCTGGAGGGCATTGGGAGATTTCGAACGAACGACAACAAGAGAAATGGGATGAAGTGCAATTTTGGGATTGGAGAATATTGATTCGAAGGACGTCAACCTATGACAGGGATCATTGTGGGTGGAACCCGGATGAGGGTTGCATCTAACCGCGCCAATGCCTTTTATTGTTGCAGCCTTTCGAGCAGAAGGTGGTTCAAGAGTAATGATGGGAATGAGACAGGTGGAGAAGAACATAGGAGAGTGTAAGGGACTGATTTTGACACTACAGAGTATTCAAGAGAGATAAGATGGTGGTGCTTCGCGGTGAACCTAGTTTGTGCAAGCTTTTAGTAAAGCTCAAGACCATGGTGAGTTCAATTCAAGACGTAGGACTAGGATTTTAGATCGAGTTGCATAACATGAAAGTGTCACATGATACGAAGTTGACAAAGATTTCGACAATCAATGAGCTATTGGAAAAGTTGTTTGGGTCTACAAGATTCTCCAAGATTGATTTAAAGTCAGGGCACCAATAGGTTCGGATGCGATTGAAAGATGTGCCAAAACTGCATAACTAACTCATGAGGGTCACTATGATATTTTGGTTAAATCATAAGGATTGTCAAATGATGATACCACCTGGGAGCCATATTATGTGATTCAACAACAATTTTTTCTTCCACCTCGAGGATGATGACAAGGTTCTTCTTTGGTTTGGGGGGAGTATTCTTATGCCGATGTCTAAGGGCAATTTAGTAATTTTATATTTATTACTGTAGGGATAAATAGGGTCAATATGTTTAGGGTTAGGTTATGCATGCGTGTGATTTTGGTGTTGAGTCTTATGTTTAGAGTTTGGGATCTCGAATTGTCTGTGCTTATTTTATGCTTGCAGTTGTGTTGTTTGTGGAGTTTTGTATGACAAACTTGACTATTTAACTTAACAAATGAGCCAAACATGAATAATTATTGAGGTTAATACTGTTGTGGTATATATATAAATAGAAGAACGATCTTGAACGATGAAACGAAAAATAGAACGAGAAAATTCACACCAGAAAACAATAACACAGCGGAACACAGATTTACGTGGTTTGACAAATTGCTTACATCCACAGAGTTGCAGAAGATTTTACTATTTGAGGAATATACACCAGACGATCGTTTCAACTTACAAGAGGGTTCTCTCACTCCGTTGCTCTCTCTTATTCTTTCTCTACACCGAGATACACCGAAAAAGATAAACATACAGGAGAAATAAACCCAATTTTTCTTCTGTCATAAGCCACTGAGCAGAAGCCAAGAGAGAATAATCTTTTTTTTTTCATTTTTTTCTGCCGCAAAGAACTACTGCTTGCACTTCTGTTTCTCTATCCCGAGGATGCCCGAAGAATAACACAAAAAGGGTCGTGCCGTGGAAAGTGAAGGCGTCGTGCGGTGTCTTTTATCGCGAACGGGAAGGGAGACGCGACGATTCTCGAACATCAGCGAGAGTTGGCGGGAGCGGTCACAACATTTCTCGATCGGGGGAGCGGGAGCGGTCGGACCGTGCTCCAAAACTCAACAAATCTCCCACTTGGAGACCGGTACACAGACAACTTCTCCATCCTCAAACTGATATCCTCCACTGGCGGTGTCACATTTTTCTTCAAACATAAATCATTCACCTCTGCAACTCAAAACCTTACCTTCACACCAGAAGACCAACTAAAGCTGTGCACAACTTCAGTTTCTCATGAGTAACACCCTCAGTCAACATATCAGCAGGGTCAACATAACTTTGCATCTCTAAGCTATTTCCTGAGTTACTTTTGTCTCTGCTTACAACTCCCATTGCATGAGCAATATCATACCTCTACTGAAAGTCTTTTTCAACAAGTCTATCCTTATACCTCTTACTGTCATCACGCTCAGTCTTCACCCGATACACCCACTTATTGTATAATGTCTTCTTCCCTGGTGGAAGTTCTGCTAAGTCCCACTTGCGCGAATTTTCATCTTGTAAGATTTTTTCACAGCTCTGTGGTTCTCCACCATTTGTTTGTGGAACAATAAGACTCACTCTCATCACTTTCATCATCAACAGAGCTATGAACTGTCAGCAATAGTGCATCCTGTACTTCTTCAGATACCACATTTGTGTTATCATTCTCCATTTTCTTGGGATTTCTACAGTTCCTCTTTATGTGTCCAGTCTTGCCACAATTTCAACAGGTTGTCTGCTGACCAGACTTTAATTTTGATCTCCCTCTATTTGAGTTCTTGTTTTGTCATCTCCCTCTGAAATCAACATTCAGTGCCGAACTCGAACCTGAGATCTCGACAAAATCTTTCCTGCGCACCTCCTCAGCTAAAATTAAATCATGAATATCATCATATCTCAGTTTAGATTTATCTTCAGAACTGCTAACTGTCATTCTCATGGCTTTCCAACTATTTGACAATAATGCCAACAATATCAGCGCACGTATCTCATCATCAAAATCAATTTCAACATACGATAATTGATTTTTGATAGTATTAAAATCATTCAGGTGTTGAACGACAAAAATACTGTCCTTCATTTTCAAGTTGAATAACTTTTTCATCAGATATACCTTGTTATTCTATGTTGGTTTTTCATACATACCTGATAAGACTGTCA